CACACACACACACACACACACACACACACACACACACACACACACACACACTAACTCTCGCGTACTGGTGCTAGTAATAGTGCTACTGGTGCTACCAGCTGTATCACTGGCGCTAGCAATGGTGACACAGGTGCTAGCAGTGGTGACACAGGTGCTAGCAGTGGTGACACAGGTGCTACCAGTGGTAACACAGGTGCTAGCAGTGGTGACACATGCTACCAGTGGTGACACAGGTGCTAGCAGTGGTGACACAGGTGCTACCAGTGGTAACACAGGTGCTAGCAGTGGTGACACAGGTGCTACCAGTGGAACTCAGGTGCTAGCAGTGGTGACACTGGTGCTAACAGTGGTGACACAGGTGCTACCAGTGGTGACACAGGTGCTAGCAGTGGTGACACAGGTGCTACCAGTGGTGACACAGGTGCTACCAGTGGTAACACAGGTGCTAGCAGTGGGTGACACAGGTGCTACCAGTGGTAACACAGGTGCTCGCAGTGGTGACACTGGTGCTAGCAGTGGTGACACAGGTGCTACCAGTGGTGACACAGGTGCTAGCAGTGGTGACACTGGTGCTAACAGTGGTGACACAGGTGCTCACAGTGGTGACACAGGTGCTAGCAGTGGTGACACAGGTGCTACCAGTGGTACCGGTGCTAGCAGTGGTGACACTGGTGCTGCTGACACAGGTGCTACCAGTGGTGACACAGGTGCTGATGGTGACACAGGTGCTACCAGTGGTGACACAGGTGCTAGCAGTGGTGACACAGGTGCTGATGGTAACACAGGTGCTAGCAGTGGTGACACTGGTGCTAACAGTGGTGACTGGGTGCTACCAGTGGTGACACAGGTGCTGAGTGGTGACACAGGTGCTACCAGTGGTAACACAGGTGCTAGCAGTGGTGACTGGGTGCTACCAGTGGTGACACAGGTGCTAGCAGTGGTGACACAGGTGCTACCAGTGGTAACACAGGTGCTGGCAGTGGTGAACAGGTGCTACCAGTGGTGACACAGGTGCTCAGCAGTGGTGACACAGGTGCTAGCAGTGGTGACACAGGTGCTACCAGTGGTGACACAGGTGCTAGCAGTGGTGACACAGGTGCTGGCAGTGGTGACACTGGTGCTAGCAGTGGTGACACAGGTGCTACCAGTGGTAACACAGGTGCTAGCAGTGGTGACAGGTGCTAGCAGGTGGTGACACTGGTGCTAGCAGTGGTGACACAGGTGCTAGCAATGGTGACACAGGTGCTAGCAGTGGTGACACAGGTGCTAAGCAGTGGTGACACAGGTGCTAGAAGTGGTGACACATTGTAACAGTGGTGACACAGGTGCTAGCAGTGGTGACACGGTGCTAGCAGTGGTGACACTGGTGCTAGCAGTGGTGACACAGGTGCTAGCAGTGGTGACACTGGTGCTAGCAGTGGTGACACTGGTGCTAGCAGTGGTGACACAGGTGCTAGCAGTGATGACACTAGGACACTGGCGCCAGTGGTGACACAGGTGCTAGCAGTGTGACACTGGTGCTGGCAGTATGGTGACAGGTGCCAGCAGTGGTGACACAGGTGCTAGCAGTGGTGACACAGGCGCAGCAGTGGGGACACTGGGGCAGCAGTTGTGACACTGGTGACAGTGGTGACACAGGTGCTAGCAGTGGGACACAGGTGCAGCAGTGGGACACAGGTGCAGCAGTGGTGACACTGGTGCTAGCAGTGGTGACACTGGTGCTAGCAGTGGTGACACAGGTGCTAGCAGTGGTGACACAGGTGCTAGCAGTGGTGACACAGGCGCTAGCTGTGGTGACACTGGTGCTAGCAGTGGTGACACTGCGCTAGCAGTGGCACACAGGTGCTAGCAGTGGTGACACTGGTGCTAGCAGTGGTGACACAGGTGCTAGCAGTGGTGACACTGGTGCTAGCAGTGGTGGTGACACAGGTGCTAGCAGTGGTGACACAGGTGCTAGCAGTGGTGACACAGGTGCTAGCAGTGGTGACACTGGTGCTAGCAGTGGTGACACTGGTGCTAGCAGTGGTGACAGGCGCTAGCAGTGGTGACACGGTGCCAGCAGTGGTGACACTGGTGCTAGCAGTGGTGACACTGGTGCTAGCAGTGGTGACACAGGTGCTAACAGTGGTGACACTGGTGCACAGTGGTGACACTGGTGCTAGCAGTGGTGACACTGGTGCTAACAGTGGTGACACTGGTGCTAGCAGTGGTGACACTGGTGCTAAGCAGTGGTGACACTGGTGCTAGCAGTGGTGACACAGGTGCTAGCAGTGGTGACACTGGTGCTAGCAGTGGTGACACAGGTGCTAACAGTGGTGACACTGGTGCAACAGTGGTGACACTGGTGCTAGCAGTGGTGACACTGGTGCTAGCAGTGGTGACACAGGTGCTAACAGGTGACACTGGTGCTAACAGTGGTGACACTGGTGCAGCAGTGGTGACACTGGTGCTAGCAGTGGTGACACTGGTGCTAACAGTGGTGACACTGGTGCTAACAGTGGTGACACTGGTGCACACAGTGGTGACACTGGTGCTAACAGTGGTGACACTGGTGCTAACAGTGGTGACACTGGTGCACAGGTGAACTGGTGCTAACAGTGGTGACACTGGTGCTAACAGTGGTGACACTGGTGCTAACAGTGGTGACACTGGTGCTAGCAGGTGACACTGGTGCTAACAGTGTGACACTGGTGCTAACAGTGGTGACACTGTGCTAACAGTGGTGACACTGGTGCTAACAGTGGTACACAGGTGCTAACAGTGGTGACACTGGTGCTAACAGTGGTGACACTGGTGCTAACAGTGGTGACACTGGTGCTAACAGTGGTGACACAGGTGCTACAGTGGACACAGGTGCTAACATGGTGACACTGGTGCTAACAGTGGTGACACTGGTGCTACCAGCTCTATCACTGGTGCTAGCAGTGGTGACACTGGTGCACAGTGGTGACACAGGTGCCACAGTGGTGACAGGTGCTAACAGTGGTGACACAGGTGCTAGCAGTGGTGACACTGGTGCTAACAGTGGTGACACAGGTGCTAACAGTGGTGACACTGGTGCTAGCAGTGGACACTGGTGCTAACAGTGGTGACACTGGTGCTAACAGTGGTGACACTGTGCTAACAGTGGTGACACTGGTGCTAACAGTGGTGACACAGGTGCTAACAGTGGTACACTGGTGCTACCAGCTCTATCACTGGTGCTAGCAGTGGTGACACTGGTGCTAACAGTGGTGACACTGGTGCTAACAGTGGTGACACTGGTGCTAACAGTGGTGACACTGGTGCTAACAGTGGTGACACTGGTGCTAACAGTGGTGACACAGGTGCTAACAGTGGTGACACTGGTGCTAACAGTGGTGACACTGGTGCTAACAGTGGTGACACTGGTGCTAACAGTGGTGACACAGGTGCTAACAGTGGTGACACTGGTGCTACCAGCCTATCACTGGTGCTAGCAGTGGTGACACTGATGCAACAGTGGTGCACTGGTGCAAGTTACACTGGTGCACAGTGGGACACTGGTGCTAACAGTGGGTGGTGACACTGGTGCTAACAGTGGTGACACTGGGCGTGTGACACTGGGTGCTAACAGTGGTGACACTGGTGCAACAGTGGTGACACTGGTGCTAACAGTGGTGACACTGGTGCTAACAGTTGTCACTGGTGCTAACAGTGGTGACACTGGTGCTAACAGTGGTGACACTGGTGCTAACAGACATGGTGCGTGACACTGGTGCTGTGTAAGACAGTGCTAACAGCACTGGTGCTAACAGTGGTGACACTGGTGCTACCAGTGACACTGGTGCTACAGTGGTGACACTGGTGCACAGTGGACACAGGTGTAAATGGTGACACTGGTGCTAACAGTGGTGACACTGGTGCTAACAGTGGTGACACTGGTGCTAACAGTGGTGACACTGGTGCTAACAGTGGTGACACTGGTGCTAACAGTGGTGACACTGGTGCTAACAGTGGTGACACAGGTGCTAACAGTGGTGACACTGGTGCTACCAGCCATCACTGGTGCGCAACACGGTGCTAACAGTGGTGACACTGGTGCTACCAGCTCTATCACTGGTGCTAACAGTGGGTGACAGTGGTGACACTGGTGCTAACAGTGGTGACACTGCTAACAGTGGTGACACTGGTGCTAACAGTGGTGACACAGGTGCAACAGTGGTGACACTGGTTAACAGTGGTGACACTGGTGCTAACAGTGGTGACACTGGTGCCAGTGGACACAGTGCAACTTGGTGCTAACAGTGCCAGCAGTGGTGACACAGGTGCTAACAGTGGTGACATGGTGCCACCAGCATCACTGGTGCTAACAGTGGTGACACGGTGCAACAGTGGTGACTGGTGCTAACAGTGGTGACACTGGTGCTAACAGTGGTGACACTGGTGCTAGCCATCACTGGTGCTAGCAGTGTGACATGGTGCAGTGGTGACACTGGTGCTAACAGTGGTGACACAGGTGCAACAGTGGTGAGATGCGAGGGACACTGTGCTAACAGTGGTGACACTGGGCCAGTGGTGACACTGGTGCACAGGGTGCATGTGCAGCGTGGTGACGGTGCTAACAGTGGGGACTGGTGCTACAGTGGTGACACGGTGCTAACAGTGGTGACACTGGTGCTACAGTGGCACACTGGTGGTGACACTGGTGCTAACAGTGGTGACACAGGTGCACAGTGGTGACACTGGTGCTACCAGCTCTATCACTGGTGCTAGCAGTGGTGACACTGGGCACAGTGGATACTGGTGCTAACAGTGGTGACACTGGTGCACAGTGGTGACACAGGTGCTAACAGTGGTGACACTGGTGCTAACAGTGGTGACACTGGTGCTAACAGGGTGACACAGGTGCTAGCAGTGGTGACACTGGTGCTACAGTGGTGACACAGGTGCTAACAGTGGTGACACTGGTGCAACAGTGGTGACACTGGTGCACAGTGGTGACACTGGTGCTAACAGTGCATGGTGACACTGGTGCTATCATGGTGACACTTGTTAACAGTGGTGACACTGGTGCTAACAGTGACACTGAAAGTCAGGCTATCACTGGCGTAAGTGAGTGCAGGGCACTGGTGCACAGTGGTGACACTGGTGCAACAGTGGTGACACTGGTGCTAACAGTGGTGACACTGGTGCTAACAGTGGTGACACTAGCTTAACAGTGGTGACACTGGTGCTAACAGTGGTGACACTGGTGCTAACAGTGTGACACTGGTGCTAACAGTGGTGACACAGGTGCTAGCAGTGGTGACACTGGCACAGTGGTGACACAGGTGCTAACAGTGGTGACACTGGTGCTAACAGTGGTGACACTGGTGCTAGCAGTAGACACTGGTGCTAACAGTGGTGACACTGGTGCTAACAGTGGTGACACTGGCTAACAGTGGTGAACTGGGTGGTAGACAGTGGTGACACTGGTGCTAACAGTGGTGACACTGGTGCAACAGTGGTGACACTGGTGCACAGTGGTGACACTGGTGCTAACAGCATGACACACAGGTGCTAACAGTGGTGACACTGGTGCTAACAGTGGTGACACAGGTGCTAGCAGTGGTGACACTGTTAACAGTGGTGACACAGGGCAACAGGCAGACCTGGTGCTGCACTGGTGAGCACTGGTGCTACCAGCCTATCACTGGTGCCAGCAGGTGACACTGGTGCTAACAGTGGTGACACTGGTGCTAACAGTGGTGATATTGGAACAGTGGTACACAGGGCTAGCAGTGGTGACACTGGTGCTGGCAGTGGTGACACTGGTGCTAACAGTGCACTGGTGCCAACAGCAGACACTGGTGCTAGCAGTGGTGACACTGGTGCTAACAGTGGTGACACTGGGTTGGGCTACCAGTGGTGACACTGGTGCTAACAGTGGTGACACTGGTGCTAACAGTGGTGACACTGGTGCTAACAGTGGTGACACTGGTGCTAACAGTGGTGACACTGGTGCTAACAGTGGTGACACTGGTGCTACAGTGGTGACATGTGTGCTAACAGTGGTGACACTGGTGCTAGCCTATCACTGGGCGCGTGTGCACTGAAGTGGTGCCAGTGGTGTACACTGGAAAAGCGTGCGCACAGGCAACAGTGGTGACACTGGTGCTATCAGTGGTGACACCAGCAATAGTGGGTGATGCGCGGCAGTACTGGTGCCACAGTGGTGACACTGGTGCCAGTGTGGTGACACTGGAAAATAACAGTGTGCACTGGTGCTACAGTGGTGACATTGGTGCTAACAGTGGTGACACTGGTGCTAATAGTGGTGACACTGGAGCACAGTGGTGGAGCACTGGTGCTAACAGTGGTGACACTGGTGCACAGTGGTGGCCTGGTGCAACAGTGGTGACACTGGTGCTAACAGTGGTGACACTGGTGCTGACAGGGTGGTGCCTGGTGCTAGCAGTGGTGACACTGGTGCTCGGTTGGTGACAGGTGCTAACAGTGGTGACACTGGTGCTAACAGTGGTGACACTGGTGCTAACAGTGGTGCAGACACTAACAATTATCGCCTGCACAACACGTGACTTTAGCCAAAACATATCATTTTAAATTAACTGGAATTGTGTTCAATGGACGCACAGCACAGTGGTGTTGCACGTGCATGCCTATTGTGTGTCGTGAAGCACCCACACATGTCGAGGCCGGGGCGGGATGCACTGGTGTCAATAATGCCCATCAAACGTCATTCACCATCCTCATGCGTGCGTGCAGTGCGTGTGTTATATCGCACACCATCAACCGATGACGTGCAAATTGGTGAAATCTAGCTGCCAGCAGGATGATGCGGCAGTGATGTGATGCTGGTGATGTGATGTGCTATGATGATGCTAAGATGATGCTGTTGTTATATTTTATGATGCTGTTGTTACATGCATTACGCTGTTATGATGCTGTTGCTGCTGATGATGCCGCTGTTGTTAAGATGATGCTGTTGTTAAGATGACATGCTGTTGGTTATTTTATGCTGTTGCTGATGATGCCATGATGATGCTGGTGCTATTTTTATGTTGTTGCTGCTGATGATTGAAGAGTGCGATGCCGTTGCGATGCTGTTGTTATTTTACGCGTATGCTGTTATGATGATGATGTTAGTTGTTATTTATGCTGTTGTTATGATGACATGCTGCTGCTGTTATTTTACGCTGTTACATGATGCTGTGCAGCGATGATGTTAACAGATGATGTTGTTATGATGCTGTTGTGTTGATGATGCTGTTGTTAAGATGATGCTGAAAGCATATTTTATGAAGCTGCTGTTATTTTATTACGCTGTTGTTATGATGCTGTTATGCTGGTTGATGATGCTGTTGCTTTGCTATTTTTATGCTGTTGTTATGATGCATGTTGTTAAGATGATGCTGTTATTAAGATGATGCGCTGTTGTTAAGATGACGCTGTTGTTATGATGCCGTTTATGATGATGGCTGTTGCTGTTGATGCTGTTGTTATTTGTTGTTACATGATGCGCTGTTGTTATGATGTTGTTATGATGCTGTTATTTTATGCAGCAAGATGATGCTGTTGTTGTTATTTTATGTTACATGCTGTTGTTATGATGCTGTTGTTATGATGCTATGATGTTGTTATGATGTTGTTACATGATGCTATATGATGTGCTGTTATGATGTGTTAAAGCAAGATGATGTGTTGTTATGATGTTGTTACATGATGCTGTTGTTATTTTTATTACGCTGTTGTTATGATGATGCTGTTATTGTTATTGTTATTACATGATGTTATTGTTATTTTGATGTTGTTGTTATGATGCTGTTGTTGATGATGCTGTTGTTGTTGATGATGCTGTTGTTGTTATTTATTGTTGTTAAGATGACGTGCTGTTATTTTTTTACGCTGCTGTTGTTACGCTGTTGTTATTTTACGCTGTTATTATTTATGTGATGCTGTTGTTATTTATGCTGTTATGATGTTGTTAAGATGATGCTGTTGTTAAGATGATGCTGTTATTAAGATGATGCTGTTGTTAAGATGATGCTGTTGTTAAGATGATGCTGTTGTTATATTTTATTGTGACGCCGCTGGCTAATATTTTACGCTGCTGCCATATTTTACGCCGTTGCTGACGCTGCTGTTATTACGATGCTGTTGTTACATTTTACGCTGTTATGACGCTGTTGTTACATGACGCTGCTGTTACATGACATGCTGTTGCTAAGATGATGTGCTGCTGTTTACGTTACATGATGTTGTTGATGACGCTGTTGTTATTTTATTTATTGTTGTTGTTATGACGTTATTATGCCGTTGTTATGATGCTGTTGTTGATGATGCCGTTGTTATTTTATCGACGCTGTTGTTATTATTTTATTGCCGTTACATTTTACGCTGCCGTTGCTGATGACGTGCTGTTGCTGCTGATGATTTGTTGCGCCAAGACGGTTGTTACGATGACGCCGTTGTTATTTTATTTATTGATGATTTGTTGTTATTTTGACGTTGCTATTTATTACGCTGTTGCTGCTGATGACGCCGCCGCTTTTACGCTGTTTGCTGCTATTTACGTGTTGTTATGACGCTGTTGCTACATGATGCTGTTGCTGTTTTATGATGCTGTTGTTATTTTATGCTGTTAGTTACATGATGCTAAGATGATGTTGTTATGTTATTTTATGCTGTTATGCTGTTACATGATGCTGTTATGATGTGCTGTTATATGCTGTTAAGATGATGCTGTGTTATGATGTACAGCATGATGTTATTTTATTGTTGCTATTTTTATGCTGCTGTTGTTAAGATGATGTTAAAGATGATGCTGTTATTTTATGCTGTTGTTAAGATGATGTTGTTACATGATGTGCTGTTATGATGATGCTGTTGTTGTTGATGATGCTGTTGTTGATTTTATTAGCATTTATTACGCGGCGTTGTTATTTATTTTACGCTGTTACATGATGCTGTTGTTAAGATGATGTTGCTAAGATGATGCTGTTGCTATGATGCTGTTGTTACATGATGCTGTTGTTAAGATGATGCTGTTATTACATTTTACGCTGTTGTTACATGATGTTGCTATTTTTTATTTTACGCTGTTACATTTACGCCGCCGTTATTTTACGTTGCTATGACGCCGTTATTTTTATTTACCGCCATATACGTTACTATTTACGCCGTTACATGACGCCGTTACATTTTATTGTTATTTATTTGCCGTTATTTTTGTTAATATTATTTTATTGCCGTTCATTTTATTTGTTACATTTACGCCGTTACATTTTTACGCCGTTGTTATTATTTTACGCCGTTAAGATTTATTGTTTACGCTGCTGTTATTTTACGCTGCTGTTGTTATGATGCTGTGCTGCTAAGATGATGCTGTTGTTATGATGTGCTGTTGTTAAGATGATGCTGGTGCTGTTACGATGCTGCTGCTATGATGCTGTTGGCGTTTTATGCTGTTATTTTATGCTGTTACATGATGTTATTTTTATTTGTTGTTATGATGTTGTTGATGACGCTGTTGTTATGATGCGCTGTTACATTTTTACGCTGTTGTTACATTTACGCTGTACTGTTGATGATGTTAAGATGATGCTGTTGTTATTATTTTACGTGCTGTTATTATTATTTTATTTATTGTTGTTAAGATGATGTGCTGTTGTTATTTTACGCTGTTGTTACATTTTATTTTGTTACATTTTACGCTGTTGTTAAGATGACGTGCTGCTGTTAAGATGATGTGCTGTTGTTTTCTGCTGATGATTTTATTGTTGTTACATGTGCTGCTGTTTTACGCGATGATGCTGGCGATGATGCTATTTTACGCTGTTAAGATGACATGTTATGATGACGTTGTTATTTTATGTTATGTTACATTATGCTGTTGTTATTTTATGCTGTTATGATGCTGCTGTTATGACGCTGTTGTTATTTTATTATGTTGTTAAGATGATGCTGTTAAGATGATGCTGTTATTTTTACGCTGTTATGCTGTTGTTATTTTATGTTGGTTATTATGCTGTTATGATGCTGTGCTGTTACATGCTGTTATTTATGCTGTTATGATGTTGTTATTTTATGCTGTTATGTGATGCTGTTGTTAAGATGATGCTGTTATATGACATGCTGTTGTTAAGATGATGTGTTGTTATATGATCTGTTGCTACATGATGCGCAGCAGCATATTTACGTTGTTACATTTTTACGCTGTTATGATGCTGTTGCTAAGATTTTATTGTTGTTATTTTATTTGTTGTTGGCGATGATGTTGCCAATATTTTACGCCGCCGCTGAAGATTTTATTTGCCGTTATTATTTTACGTACGTTACTACATTTTGACGCCGTTACAATATTTTGATTGCCACATTTTATGCCGGCGTTACGACGTTGCCATATTTTACGCCGCGACGCCGCCACATTTTCATTACATTTTATCGCCGCCGTTACGACGCTGCTACATTTTTATTGCCGTTACATTTTACGCCGGTGCTGTTATGATGCCGTTGCCACATTTTATTGTTGTGATGTTGTTGTTATTTTATTAAGATGATGTTGTTACATTTATGCCGTTTGTTGAGCTGCGCGATGCTGTTATTTTATGCTGTTATTTTACGCTGTTATGCGATGTTGTTATTTTATGCTGCTGTTATTTTATGCTGTTGTTAAGATGATGCTGTTATGATGCTGCTGCTTATGATGCTGCTGTTGTTATGATGCTGTTGTTAAGATGTTATATGTTGTTATGATGTTGTTGATGATGTTATGATGCTGTTGTTACATGATGTTGTTATGATGCTGTTACATGACATGTTGTTGATGATGTGCTGTTATATGATGCTATGATGTTGCTGGTTATTTTTATTGATGCTTGTTGTTACATGATGTGCTGTTGCTATGATGATGCTGTTAAGATGATGTTGTTACATGATGTTATTGATGATGTAACCGTTAAGATGATGTTTATTTTATTTGTTGTTACATGGATGCTGCGCAGCAGGGCAAAGCAGCAAGCAGCAAGGTTATGGGCAGCATGTTGTTATTTTATGTGTTAAAAGGTGATGCATGCTGCATGGCAGTGGAGGCATGGTGGAAACAACCATGAAAATTAATACCAAGGGAACTGAGTGAAATTGCTGGAATGAGCTATGAATGGAAATGAGTTCATGAACTGCTGGAATGAGCCTGGTGAAACTGCTGGAACTGAGTATGAAATGGGAAGGAGTCTGGTGAATGCCGGGAATTGAGTTTGTGAAGGGCCTGAGCCTGGTGAAATTGCTGGGAATTGAAACATGAAATTGCTGGAATGAGTTTTGGTGAAGGGAACTGAGTCGGCGAACTGCTGGAACCGCGAAATTGCCGGGAACTGGTTCATGAACTGCCGGAACTGCTGGGAATGGAATTGTGTAATGGAATGGAATTGTTGGAATGAATGTAATGGAATGAAATGAATGGAATTGGAATGGAATTGAAGGGAATGGAATTGAATGGAATGTTGTGTGAATGAATTGGAATGAATTGAATGGAAATGAATGTGAATTGTTGAATGGTTAATTGAATGATTGGTAATGG